AACTTTGATCGGCATGCTAGAAATTAGAATATTACTTGTTATTTCTTTATGATCGTGGTTATTAATAGCAACGGATATACATGTTATACAATCATTTATAATCCATATGTGTAACGCATGATCAACACCATACTTGTGTAATTGTCCCTTAATTATTATGTTATTGCTATTAACGAGGACCCCCTCTTAAGGTATCTGTTCACACTAAGTAACAATATGACACTTGTTATATTACCATGTTGATCATGTTGAGCATAATTGTTTATTATACAATAAATGTAATTTCTATTTTAATAAAAAAAATACAGATTTTATGAATACAGTATTGTTTTCTTTTCTTTTTTTTGTGTGTGTTTTATGCGCTATTTTAATACTGAGTTTTTACGTTTACTACTATTTTAAGAATTCAATTGTCATAATGATCGACGATTATAAGTCAAAACTTAACTGGAAAAGTCAGTAAATCATGGTTAATCTTTCATTTTATAATATTGTTTATTCTTAAACCATATACATGTACATTTGTATTTTTCTTTATCATTTTTTAAATTATCAATCAATTGAATAATTCATAAAATCTGATTTGTAACTTTGAATAATTCCTCGGAATCTTTACTAAACACGAATAACAAATTATATGAAATGTTTTAAAAGTTGATAGTGTCATATTAATGCCATAAAAATGTATATTTTTTCTCAATTATTGTACATATTTATTGTTTTTTATCTCATATAGATAAAATATAACATGCGATTTGTGTTGTTGGTTTTTTTTTTCGAATTGTATGTTTATGTATAATAATAATCAATCAATTCGAGAGTTGATTCTGTGTTTATTAATTATTGTAACCAAACTAAGTGACAAACATTCATTTTGAAAAAAAAGCTTATTTATCTGTAAAAATATTTGTTCTGTTCTGTAACGATATCTACTCCAAAACCGGGAGAGACCGGACAATTAACGTGTGGTACTATTCGCCGGTCATTAGTAAATCCCGGGAGAGACCGGGAATTAGCTAGGAGTACATCCCTCTATAAATAGATTTTCGAATATTAAGGTCATCAACTAATCATTCTATTTAACAGCTTCGGAATAACATACCATAATAACCCACTGTGTACTACAAAATGATAAGCAAAAATACCCCGAAGAGCGCGATTTATTGACGGAAAAGGTTATTTCATTTGAAAATGTTTGCATTGCGAAATTCTCCAGTTCGCCATTCATTGTACATATCGCGACTAATTAACAATCAAGCACCCTCATACCGATCGGAATGATCGGCTTTTATTATTGGCAACTATAAAAGGCTCGAGAAGTTGCTGTCGCCCTTTCACAAAATCTCATTTCATTCCAATAGGCGCCGCGCTTCGGCGCGGACGCCAACAATGGTGTTGACCATCCTGTTTGTTACTTTTCTAAAAAGTTTAATGAACATCAGAAAAATTACTCTACTATAGAGAAAGAGTGCCTTGCTCTTATTCTTGCTATTCAGCATTTTGAAGTTTATCTAACTTCTTCAAAGTTGCCTGTTGTTGTCTTTAGTGATCACAACCCCCTCACTTTCTTGCATAAACTTAAAAACAAAAATCAAAGGTTGTTGAGGTGGAGCTTATTTTTGCAAGAATATAGTCTTGACATTAGACACATTAAAGGGAAAGATAATTTGATCCCTGATGCACTTTCACGTGTCTAAAACTGTTATTTGCAGTATTTTAAATTTAACATTTATATGATATGATTGATTATTTTTTTTTTGTTGTTGTTTGCTATTGTTTGTAATAGCATTTATATGATATGATTGGTTATGTTTTTGTTGTTGTTTGCTATTGTTTGTAATACACATATAAATGAATGTATAAAATTGTTTAACATTTCTCCTATGTTATTTGTAAGTTACATTGTTTGAATTTATGTAAAAAAAATATTCATTTCATTAATATTTCTTTTTCTTGAAGAGGGGAAGTGTTATGTATGCAACATATTACATGTATATAGATTATATCTGACCAGTTGGTATTTCCAATATTGTCATTGTTCTATTTTTAGAACATAAACTACATGTATGTACTAGAACGTTCTTAACTGTTGTGGAAAACTCATGCATTATATTTAGATAGAAATTTCTGGAATGATCTTTACTGTTGAAGTTGCTAGATTATGATTACTGTAATAAATGGAAGACTATTCTAGAAACTTCTTAGTTAATATATATAAGGAGATATTTTTCATTACTCTTATCTTTAAGTCATCAGTTACCTTTTTAGTCATCAGTGATCTTTTAAGTCATCAATATATTTGGAGTATTATTCAACTTGGAAATTAAGTGATTTATTGGAGCTTGGATAATTAATTATTCTTGTGGATTTTATTGTGGGAATTTATTCTAAAGTGTTCTTGGATTTAACTTGGATTTAACTGTGCTATTGAAAAAGGATCATTCCAGGATCAGACTAGACATTTGTAATTTTTATTTGGACTTCAGGTATTTGTAAAGATAATTTGTTATTTTATTTTTCTTTAATAATTTTTCTGTAATAAATTTGTTATTGTTACAAGTTTGTTGCTGGCTTTTCTTTCTCGTTACGCCTGGCTCGTAACACCAAACAAAAACCGGACAGGGCACAAAACAGCACGGACAGGTCAAGCTTATTGCTTAGGGTTGAAGACATGTCATTGACATAATATTATATTAGACATAAAAGAGAACCTAAAATGAACATGAAATGACCATGCAACAAGAGCCAGTGGCAAGGAGCCCACGAGTACCCCAAAACAAAAACAGGACAGGGCATTGGCAGGATAACCACTGAAATCATAAATAATTAGTTACTGATAAGGGACTAAAAGAAAAAAAAAAAAAATTCTGGAAACAAAGTGATCCCTCGGAAGCATTAATCACAACAAAATAACATAAGAAAAGAAACAAAAGAAATTATTGAAAAATATGCCCATAAAGTCAAAGTGCACAGGGGAAGGGGACAGGAGACCCGGGGAAGGGAGGCGATAAATAAAATAAATAAAAACTAGGGGCAAAGGGGAAGATACTTACCGTAAACGAGAAAACAACAAGGGACACAAGTGTCACCAAAACAGTATGAAGCAACATAGACATACATCTGAGGAACACAGAGGGGGCGCCGCCTTGGAACGGTCAGCAGCATAAATACTGCTATTAAGAGCTTTGTTACATAACACAGAAACATTCTTTCAAAGCTTCAGTATCAAATTCATTCAGTAGATTCTTAAATATGATGTTAGTTAAATTACGAAATATAGTTTTAATGTCGTTTCTTACTGTTTTGGTGACACTTGCTTGTGTCCCTTTGTTGTTTTCTCGTCGAGGGTAAGTATCTTCCCCATTGCCTCTAGTTTTTATTTCATTGATTAACGCCCCCCCCCCCCTTCCCCCGGTCCCATCCCCTTTGTGGGCATATTATTCTTTTCTTTTAATTCCTAATCAGTTACAAATTATTTATCATTTAATGATTAACCCGTCCGTGCTCTGTCTTTGCCCTGTCCTGTTTTTGTTTGGGGTCCGCCTGGGCTCCTTGCCATTGGTTCTTGCTGCTGGGTCATATGGGGGTTGCGTTCATTGAACGCCGCCTTTCCTTGTTGATCTTGTTTATCATATTTTACCTTACATGATAATAATTATCATGCTTTGCGAAATAAAAATATATATGATCTTGATGACCTTGTTTTTTTGGTGATTTCAAGTGTTAACCATATATATATATTACTAGAAATTTGTAGTAAATTAACTTAATAAGTTAAGTTAAGTGCTGTGTGGCAGCTGTAAAAAGTTTCCCTGTACTTAACTTCAGTGTTGTAATATTTTTCTGGTCCTTCGGGATCATTGATGCCAGCACTATTAAGTGTTGAGAATTGAGTACCGCTCAACCGGTGCTAGGGGGCGTGAGGGATGTTGCACATTTTCATTATTACTCATGTACAGACTTAATCAAACCTAGTTAGCAATTCTCTTGTAATTTTGTTGTGATTAATGCTTCCGAGGGATCACTTTGTTTCCAGATTTTTATACTTCACAACAGCGGGTGTTAAATGCTGTGTGGCAGCTGTAAAAAGTTGCCCCGTACTTCACTTCAGTGTTGTTATATTTTTCTGGTCCTTCGGGATCATTGATGCCAGCACTATTAAGTGTTGAGAATTGAGAACCGCCCAGCCGGTGCTAGGGGGCGTGAGGGATGTTGCACATATTCATTATTCCTCATGTACAGACTCAATTAAACCGAGTCTACAATTCTATTGTAATTTTGTTGTGATTAATGCTTCCGAGGGATCACTTTGTTTTCCAGATTTTTATACTTTACAACAGCGGGTGCTCAGTGCTGTGTGGCAGCTGTTAAAAGTTGCCTCGTACTTCACTTCAGTGTTGTTATATTTTGTGATTAATGCTTGGACCGAGGGATCACTTTGTTTCCAGATTTTAATAATTGTATACACTTAGAGAATGTTGAATAATCATTTGATTTTGACAAGAATAATAAATTGAATCAAATTGTATCATGGTTTTAATGACCTATTTTAGTATTTTTATGCGGCCATTTTGAATTGCCCTTCTGAAGGTCAAGGTCAAATTTATTTTCTTGGTATCCACCCTCATCGTCTAGCATACCCGTATTAGGTTAAAACACCCTAGATATTAAATGTACTATAAAATGCCTCTGGCATTCATATTTTCTTAAAATCAGTCCTGTCTGTATTTTTCAGTTGAAATATCCTTGAACTTTGTCAGCAAGATAGTTTCAATGATTTCTAGTTCAAGTTAAAATATGGGTCATCTTTGGTCAAAAACTCGTTCGCACAGCCTTAGATTCTTGTTCTATATTTGCACTATTATAGATGCAGATATGAACGTTATGACATCAGCTTAATATTAAGACATTTATATATTTTTATAATTCAAAATTTATATTATTACTTGTTCCTTGCCATAAGGAGCCTAAATAAGATAAGCAATATATGGCTCATCATTGCTCTCTTGTTTATTTATTTTCGTAGGATTGTCCCTTGAGGAAATTGTTAGAAGTAGGTTTCCTGATACCTGGCTATGGGACGAATATGATATTGGGTAAGATAATTAGTTCAAGGATATTCTGTCAGAAGTCATAAAATATAAGTTTCGAAATGCACTCATTGTCTTCCGAAAAAAAGAAAAAAAAGAAATTAATATGAAAAATGAATATAGAAAATAAATAAAATGAATATATTTAATAAATAAAATGATTGTATAAATAATAATAATTATACATTTACTGGCATCAAAAAGGAGTAAGTGAATGAATTAAAAACATAAACACTGTTACGATATTTTTTGTGAACTTCTATTTCAGCATGGAAGGAGAAACTAAAATTGCGCATAAAATTCCTGATTCAATGACGTCATGGGTGACTTCGGTATTTGCCGTTAATCCAGTAACCGGTTTTGGAATTGCCGAAACAAAACCAGAGGTAAGTTTTGTGCCCTTCAAAAATCCGAAAACATTAATGTTATTTTGATATATTTGTTCTTGTTAACTATTCACAAAATATCATTTACTTACGATTATGACAAGCCAAATGAATAATACGTAAATGCTAAGTGTGCGTGCATGTATGTCAATATGCTTCTGGTAAGATTGTTACTAGTTATCTTATCTAGCAGCGTATTCTGGAAATAGATAAACATCAATGAAAAGAGAACACATATTTGAAATGGCATACTCAGTTTTATTGAGTATGTTAATGAGAGATACTGAAAATGGAAAAACATCTCTCCAGCCTCCAGCGCCGACCAAAGCGACATTTTCGATAATCCTCATAGTTAAATGCATCAGAAATAATGATCTGAAGAATTCAAAAATGAATCATACATAGATGAATAATCAGATCTCAAAGCAACTTTTATCAGTTGAACTAGCTATGTTTAAACCATAAGGCTACTGTCCAGCTAAATACTTTTTGAGGAAGAACGTATATTGCCAAACCCACTATGTTCATTATTTAGATTGCTTCCTTTCTATGAAAAGAAATGCTTATTTTATCCTTGATATTGACTGCATATTTCGGTGCATTTTCATGATTTTGCGTTTCAAATGTTGAAATATGGCAACACACAAATTATTTTATTTCTATTCATTTTTTTCAAAATATGTGTTAGTGTACGTTTTCTTCATAATTACACTAAGTACTTCAGGCAGCTAAATCTCTTCGCCATAAGCGAACTGTTGTCTTTTTCATATTTCTTGTGTAACTTATAGTTCATATTGGCAAACGATAACAATATTCTGAAGAATTTAATTATTTAATTTACAAACACACATAAATCTTTAGATATTAGTGCAGAAACAGTTTTTCCTCACAATGGATATTCCGACGTCAATAGTTCATGGCGAAGAGTTTCTCCTCCAGATATCAGTCTTCAATAACTACCCAATAAATAAATTGGTAATGGTATTTTATATGTACGTTTAATTGTCCTCCGCCTTTTCAAAGAAAAAAAGGGGACATAGAAATAGGCTCCGTCAGTCTATTTGTCCGTCTGTCCGTTATCAACCTGTCGAATTTTTTCGTGTTTTGGCCTTATTTATGTCATTTATCAAAGGAAGTTTGAATTGCTTGGCGCAAATGTTTGTTATAATAAGACGATGTTTCATGTGCAGCAACCAGGCCGCTATCTCTAAAGTCAAAGTCACACTTGGTTGATTAAAGGTCAACATCGTCTATTTGATGATATATGTCATGTCCGGTTCATAACTTTCCTATCCATGAAGGGATTTTAAAAATACTTGGCACAAATGTTCACACTAATGAGCCAATGCTTAATAAACTAGACACATACTTCCAATGCCAAGGTCACAGTTGAAGATCAAATATTAACAGAGTCTGATACAGGTCCATAACTTCTTCATAAATGAAGGGATTTTCAAACTTATTTGGCACAAATGTTTACAATATAAGACGTTGCGTCATGCACAAGAAGCAGTCGACTGCCTTTAAGGTCATAATCACAGTTTGAGGTCAATGATTAACATAGACTGTTACAGGGTATATTTTGTGTCCGGTCTATTATTTTTTAATAGGTAAAGGGGATTTTGAAATTATTTTGAACAAATTGTCACAATGATAAGACGATGTGTCATAATCAAAAACCAGTCGCCAACCTGCAACGTCAAGGTCACAGTTGAAGGTCAAAGATAAACTGTTTTTGTATATTTTGTTTCCAGTGCATTACTTTTTCATCCATGTGCAGTTTACAATGTGTTTATTGCTCAAGGGATTTCTAAATTACTTGGCACACATGTTCTCAATAATTGAACCATGTGTCATATAGAACAACCAAACCCCTACCTTCAATTTCTAGGTCACACTTGAGGTCCAAAGTTTAACATGGTCTGTTTTAGGGTATATTTTGTGTGCGGAATATAACCTTTTCATCAATTAAGGGATTTTGAATTAACTTGGCACAAATGGTAACAAAAATAAGACGACATGTCATTTGCAACCAAACCCCAACCCCAAAGGTCAAGGTCACACCTGAAAGTCAAAGTCTAAAATAGTATGTCACTAGGTATGATGCCAAGTTGGGCCAAATGCAATACAATGTCAATGGTGAATTGCCCATATACCATTATTGATGACTTTACACGAAATATTTCTGTCACAGACCATATCTTGTATTGATTTTGCATTTATTTGAAATTATGGTAGCGTGGCGGCAAGGCCTGAATGGTAAACGTGTCGGTCGGACTATTTATCTAATGATCGCTAGCTGCATGGGTTAAAAACCCACCAGGACAAGTCGTTGTTTCCTTGAGCAAGAAAATTTACACTCATTTTTCAGTACTGGTTTGTCATAGAAACGTAATTAAAAGCGTATAGCTTCCTACACAATCAAACTAAAATAAGTTCTGTATAAACCAAATAGTGATAACAAGTATACATATGCATTTCTATTGACACATACACAAGAGTTATTTCATTATATTTTTTTAATAAATTTATTTTATTGGCATGTGCATATCTAGCATTGATCAAAATTTTGAACAATTCCTCAATTATTCTTTAAATAGCACAATTTTGTTCTTCATGTTAATCTTCATTTTAGACATTCCTTTGGCGGGGAAAGTTGGTAACTTTGTTTCATATCCTTGTTGTGTAAGAGTATCTTTCGGAGTAACAGTATATGTATTTATATGCTAATTAATGATTGCAAATATTTATAATCTGTTTCGGAAATTTTTCTTGAAATATTTTACATATATTTTGCTTGGCAAGTTAATTAGTAAAATTAATACAATTAAATCTATGACACAAAGTTATCATACGAGTACTACAAAGTGTTCTTTTGTCAAAAAGTATTCATTTGCATTGATTCACACTTAAAAAAAGTACTAAGCGATTTTATCTTAAATAATGGAACATCTTAAATGATAAAGTATGTAAGTGTCTTATAATAAATCAGAGTCATATAATACGAAAACGTAAAGGTTTTCAAAATTGTAGTGACTGTAAGCAAGAATGGAACATTATCCTATTTAAACGGTCGGCCTTAACAACTAAGATTATACCTTTAAAATTAAGGTTTTTCTGCGAATTACGCTGTCGGAAAACCCGGACAATCCTATACCAGCTTCTACTGAAGTAAGTTCACTTTTTCAATATCAAGACTTCATTATACATGTATAATAATTTTTTAGAAATTTGTTGACATTGAATCCTAGAAAAAATAACGTAAAACGACCGAAATAAACAAGCTCTATGTAGTAAGAAATCACCACCTATTCACTTACCAGTACATGTATTATAAATAGAATAATTACTTTTATCATTTTATTATTATATGCCCGAAAGAATTTTGTGTATATTAAGTTATACCCCCTGGCGTCCGTCCGTCCGTCTGTCTGTCTATCCGTCCGTCCGTCTATCCGTTCGTCCGTTAGCAATTTAGTTTTTGGAGCATAACTTGGTCACAGGTCAAGGTCATTATTACTTTAAAACTGAAAACAGTTTCCGGAACATAACTTAAGTTCCATGTTGCCCACAATATTCAAACTTCATAGGATGATTGTCCATATTGAGTAGAAGACCCCTATTGATTTTTATTCACAAGGTCAATGTCACTTTAACTTTAAAACTGAAAACAGTTTCCGGAGCATTACTTAAGTTCAATGTGGCCCAAAATATTCAAATTTATAGGATGATTGTCCATATTGGGTAGAAGACCCCTATTGATTTTGGTGTGACAGGGTAAAATGTCAAGGTCACTATATTTTTAAATGAAAACAGTTTCCGGAGCATAACTTAAGGTCAATTTGGCTTACAATATTTAAACTTCAAAGGATGATTGTCCATATTATGTAGAAGACCCCTATTGATTTTGGGGTCACGAGGTCAAAGGTCAAGGTCACTATTACTTTAAAACTGAAAACAATTTCCGGAGCATAAATTTCTATTTGGCCCATAGTGTTCAAACTTCATACTTTTATTATTAGGTAGAACACCCTTATTAATTGTTGGGTCACATTGTCAATATTCAAGGTCGCTATTACCTTAAAACTGAAAAAAGTTTCCAGAGCATAACTTAAGTTCCATTTGGCCCACAAATTTCTTACTTTATAGGAGGGTTGCTATTTGAATAAGGTAATACTTTATTAAATTTATGTCATGTCTTACAAATGTTTCATACTTACTAAAAAAAAACAACACTTTCGTACATATAATAATCCGCCTAGCGTTGCTTTTGTTATATATATTGAAAGTTTTTGCTATTTATTAAGGTTAAGGGAAATGATGGTCAATCAACGTTCATTCGTATCCATCCCGAACAAATTGGAGAATTGAACATAACAGTCACCGCCTATATCATGGGCACTTTCTTCTTTACCATACCAGATCAAATAATGAAAAGCGTAACGGTACAGGTATGTTGGATTTACGGCCAATTATTAATGTCAAATAAAGAATTCTCCGAAATAATCATAAACAACCTAGAAAACTCTGCATCTGATTTTTGGAAGAAAAGGCACAGACTATTCAATTGATCAATAATTCGATATTTGTTATATACAATGTGCCAAGTCTGTTTTAAAACATTCATCACATATCTTAATTAGGTAATTCTTCAACAAGCATGTTCTCAATCTAACGAAAATGAAAACATATTTAACGGTTTTACATTAATAGGTTTAAGATAAAAACGTATTATCTACTTGGCGATCCAACGTAATAGATAATGTTTTTTCCGTTGAAGCAACCCTTGCTTATAACAACACAGTAAAAGAGAAACTGCATGAAATGTTACAATGTGTATTCTGAAAATTGTTGTTGTAGTACGACTGCTGGTTTATCACAGCTTAATTTAAAATTAAACATGTCTCGAATTATATTGAACATATTGGGTGAAATGCACGCAATTAAGGATAATATTTGTAAGTATGCTCAAAATATGTTTAAAAAAAACTAATAAACAGGTAATATCAGGCATGTTTATATTAATGAATGATAGTGTTTTTTGTTTGTTTTTCCTTTTTTATTTGTATATATTATCATACGGTCAAGTTCAAAATTTACAACGTCACCCATTGTGACTTAGGGGTTACTAAAGGGTATAGGCATCAGCATTGCAGTCACCGTTTATCCATGTGTGATTGTAAGAGGCGACAAATTGGTTCGAACTTCTGGAGTCTGTGAACTAATGCTGCTAAAAGTTTGTAACAACCGAAGTTAGCCAAAAACACATGATCTGTGTGGGGATGTATAGTAACTAGACAGAATGCGTTGTAGTTTCCAGGTTCGACCTTTACTGATCAACAATCATATATTATAAACAACAAACAATGTTAAGTCGGAAGTGACGTTAACGTAAGCGCGGAACGTCACGTTATGCAAGGCGCTATAAATGACGTTATCAATTCCCGACATACTCGGGGCGCGAAATGTTATTTAAAGTTTAGTAATAAATCCATTATTTGAACACTACAGTTGCTACAGTATCTCACATAAAGTATTATTAATCAAGAAACAGTCATAAATATTGAATACAGTCTCTTTTTCATGTATCACCTTTCCTTTGAAATTTTAGATTAATACATTTCCAGGGGGTAAAGTTTTACAATTGCGCGATTTGTAAGTCCATTTTGAGTTCGAATTTTAGCACTTCGAATAAGTCAATCTTTTCCTGGCACGAGTTCTTCAACCACAACAAGTTTTCATAATAATCGGGGAACATCGTCGTGGACTAATACAACGTCTCCAACGAATATCGTCTGGTCATTTTTACCAGTAGTCTGATGACGTTCTCGTAAAGCTGTCAGGTATTCGTGACGTCATCTATCCCGGAAGTGGTTAATTAACTTCGTTTGTATCGTAGCCTGTTTGATAACTGACGAACGGTCACTTGGCGTAGGGAATGTACGTGTAAGGACATCCTCATAAGGGAGTTTGGTTATTCGTCTGTCATAAAGTAAGTGTGGTGGTGTAAATACTTCCGGTTCATCTGAATTACCAGAACACACATATGTCAACGGCCTATCGTTAATCATTGCCTCGATTTCTGTGATAACAATCTGTAAAGTTTCGTAGGTAACATAGGAACGTCCTTGCACTATCTTTATTGTTGTTTTCGTCAGACCTATGAGACGTTCCCACATTCCACCAAACCAAGGGGCGCGATTAGGTATCATCTTTCACTCAATTCCTCTGTTGTTGAGTTTTTCTCTAACTGTGAGTGAGTGAAACAAATCTCTTAGTTGTTTTGAGGCTGATATGAAGGTGTTAGCGTTGTCTGACATCATGACGTAAGTATCTTTTTCTTGCCAAACTGGCCAACTGTCGGGTGTGGTAAGCCATGTAGGTCCATGAAACCATAGATTACTGTTCTTGAAGTGAGTCACAGAGATTCCCCTCGTAAGTAAATCGGCAGGGTTTTCTTTCGTCGGACAATAGTTCCATTTCCGGTTTTCGGACAGCGCCTGGATTTCAATCACTCTGTTCCTTACAAATCGTGGAAGGATTTTAGGCGTCTGAAGCCAAGAAAGCACAATCTGACTATCTGACCAAAGGTATATCTGTGTTATGCTGGTGTTTTGCTGCAGATGTTAACTGAGTCGGGATCCAATTACCGCCGCCATTAGCTCTAACCTAGGTTACGTTAACTTCTTCAATGGAGCAATCCGAGTTTTAGCCATTACCAGAGTAGATTGGTTGTCTCTACAGATGTAAGCCGTAGCACCATACGATACCAAGCTAGCGTCGCAAAATATGTGAATGCACGTGCTACTTGATGCCTTTAATGTATTTTCGAAGTAGTATCTAGGAAGCGTAGTTTTTGTCACGGAATTCAAATCTGTTATTAAACTACGCCATTTTTCTTGAATACTGTCAAGTAATTGCATATCCCATTCAAACTTCTGTTGCCTTAACTCCTGTAGAAGTAATTTAGCTCTGATGGTAACTGGACTTAGTAAACCCAAGGGATCATAGATTCGAGATGTATGCTGTAATATTTCTCTCTTTGTTACAATCTGGGTATTTGGTATGTTTCTGACCGGATACAGTAAAACGTCACTATTTGTGTCCCATTTCATTCCAAGTATCATAGGGATTTGTGCATTATCTATTACTGAATCGTTGATTGCCTGTTTTTGAAGCATTTTATTATTTGAACTCCAGGACCTAAGGTTAAAACCTGCAGATGACATTAGCTCACGAGACTCGGTGTAGAAGTGTAGAAGTTGTTCTTCCTGTTGGAAACTTGATATCACGTTATCAACGTATAGATCTTGACGTAGGTAATTGCTAGCTTTCTTGTCGTTGTTAAGTTCAAGGAGCTTAAGAAAAGTTGCGCAGAGAATAAAAGGGGACGACGTAGCCCCAAAAAGGACTGCTCGGAATCTATATGTTGTCAATTCGCTGTTGGGGTTACTAGGATCACTGAGCCATAGAAATCGCGTCACATCTCTGTCGTTCTCGTCAAGAGTGATGTTGAGGAAAGCTTTCTCAATATCGGTTGCTATGGCGTATTTATTCATTCGAAAACGAATAAGAATTCCAGTTAAATCATTCAGTTCAGGTGGTGTCGACATCAAGCAATCGTTCAGACTAGGCTGGTCACGTGTCTTACAACTGCAGTCATACACGATGCGGATAGGTGTCGTGTTCGAATCCTTCTTTACATAATGATGTGGAATATAATGTACAGGGTTTGATGTGGTAACATTTGCATCACATTTTTTAATAAAACCGCGCTTTAACTGATCTTCTATGATTTGTGCATAGTTTTTAAGTATATCCGGTTCTGTTGAAAGCCGTTTAATTGTGTTTTCTGTACGCTTTCTGAAAATTTCGTAATTTGTAGGAAGTACGGAATGATCTTCTTTCCAGGGCAGTTTAGCAACATAACGTCCATCTTTGTACGTGATACAGTTTTCTTTAAACTCGTTAAGTATACCGGATGTAGATTTCTCTGTTTCATCTTCTAATATCCCCATAGATTTTAACTTCCAGAATCTCTCAAGATCTGTGGCATTAGGTGGCGCTGTTACAACATTAAACATATAGCTAACAGACGACGCATTTTAAACTTCCGGAAGAGGTCCTGACAGTAACTAACCGAGCTTTGATTTCACTGCCGTAGGTCCGTTGCCCCTAACAACATTATTCTGCACGATCTGCCAAAAATAGTCGGCTCCAATTTAGAGTGATATCTCGAAATCGTCGTCAGTGTCGGTTATAGGATGTGCAAGTTTAAGACCTTCGATATATTTCAGACATTTCACATTTCTCTGCAAGTTAGGTAAAGGTAGAGCAATGGTCGGTACAATAAGTACATCAAGTGGTATGATCTCTCCATGTTCGACGTGTAGAAACACTCTGCCTGTGGGTATATCACGACACTGTTCTGATTTGCCACCAAAAGATGCTAATGATATAGTGTCCGAACCGGTGGGCTTTAATTTCAGTTTCTCAGCAAGCTCTTCCGTAATAAATGACCTTTGAGCACCTTCGTCAAATAATATGTTTGTATTAGTTATGGTATGGTCTTGGGAGCTTACTTGAGCGATAGCAGTCTTGAGTAGAATGTTCGATCTTTGATGCCTAGTTGAATGAAGAATAGCAGTTCCTGCATTTCCTGTTTGACCGGAAGTAGAGCTTATAAATGATGTTGCATGTGGATTCAAATCGAAATTCGATGGTTGGCCACAAATACTAGAATGGTGCTTTCGCTGGTATTTCTTGCACCGAAACTTAGAACAACACTCTGAAACTTTGTGCTTTCCCAGGCAATTATAACACATACGTTTAGAGTTAATGATAGTTAGTTTTTCTTCACGTGTTTCAACTTTTTCACAATCAATCGACTTGTGGTCACCTGCACAGAACAAACACAATTTCTTACCCTTATCATTATCTCTTATCTGCGAAAATTTCTTAGATTGGTATTTTTTCTTTCCGGTTCCGGTGAATGATGATGCCGTCCACAAGTGTGATTTTCTTATTTCGTCAGTTATGCCCATTTCTAGGATGTTTATTTCTCTGGCGATAGAAGTTCTCAAATCTTGTATGTGCCATCGTACAATTCCGTGTTCTCGAGCTAAATTTCGTCGTACTTCGGAGGGAAGTTTTTTCATGATTATTGGTATTATGGGTATGACTCTCACCTAAAGATTATAAACCCCGGATGTAGTTTTCCATTTTGTCGTGAAACCTGCGTAGACTCGTTACACTGTTGTCTGGTATCGGCAAATCTAAAAGCGACTGCATGTAACTATCTATTATTTTATGAGACTGTCCGAATCGTTCTTGTAACAAATCTATTGCATTCTGCTTATTTCCCTTAGTTAATGGAAAACCTGCTATGGCGTTATATGCAGTGTCTTGTAGTAAGGAACGTAAATAGTTGAACTTTTGGACATCAGATAACGTTGGTTCAAATGTACAGCAGCCTCATACGAGTCCCAGAATGACTGCCATTTTTCAACATCTCCATCAAACGTAGGCAAACTCAGTTTAGGTAGTCTGTGAAAAGATGAGTTATCAGACGACACCCTTTGGTTATGAATAGAAAAGTTCTCACTTGATAACGTTCTAGCACTGCCGTTAATGTCCTGTGAATTACGGATCTGGTAATATCTTCCTTCAGTTTTCGTAGTTTCAAACGTAAATCAATTGAATATTCGTCACTCTCTACCAATTCTGTTTCCAAATTGTCAATATCTGCATGATTAACAATCTTATCGTTGAGATTCTTGATAATCTCGGCTTTTTCTTCCATGATTTCGAGTAGGGCTGACTTCTCCGAACGTGACAACTCGTCGTTAAATTTCTCCAGTTGTCTAGAAATAAGACGTCGCTGGCCCTCTCTAGTAGAAATAAGCTTCTGTAAATTCATTGTGATTGTAGAATTTCTCACGGCACCAACAATGCGGGGATGTATAGTAACTAGACAAAATGCGTTGTAGTTTCCAGGTTCGACCTTTACTGATCCACAATCATATAGTATAAACAACAATACAATGTTAAGTCGGAAGTGACGTTAACGTAAGCGCGGAACGTCACGTTATGCAAGGCGCTATAAATGACGTTATCAATTTCCGACAATCTGTTTCGGCATCATATGACCTACATTGTGTTGGCGCACCGTAAAATCAAACAAAAATCAACACAATTATTTTACACGTATAGCAGGCATTGGCCTTTAAGTATGCAATCATACGGTGGTTTTGTTTCAGCCAAATGGTGTATTCAAAACAACTAATGAGCAACATCTTATTGATGTTACACGAGATTCCAATCAAATTATTAAACGTATCAAGATAGATCATCCAGATGATATGGTTGAAAACTCTAGAATTACTAAAATCATCATTACCGGTCAGTGTACATAAATGTCATTTTGTGTTTTTTCCCAGCTATTAAACTTATGTATTCAATCAATCAGGCGTACACTTTCATTAAGTGATATTTGTTTTTTTCTTCGTTTACACTACAAGTAATCAATGATAATTAAAATGCAATGAATGATGTTAGATCCCAAAATATGTAAAGCGCAGTTCAACATTTAGGCTCAACAATGTCGATGAATTAGGCGAATTTTCATTATTTAAGTACATTTGTATTTACATATCTTGTATGTTGTTTTTCAGGAAATTTCATGGTACCTAGTATTAATGGTTTAGACAATTTGATACAAATGCCGTATGGTTGTGGTGAACAAACTATGATAAATTTTGCGCCAGCAATATTCATCCACGATTATCTCACTATTGTCGAAAAATTGACCCCAGAGATAGAAATGAAATCAACTAAAATTCTGCAGACAGGTAACTGTTTATATGATTAATGTTAATCATTTAAGTTGAATTTTTTCTTTAATCGAACCTTACATTCCTACATTATCCACGCGATAGCTCTGCTTTTCAGATAGAAATTTGAGAAACATAATGTAACATATTTATCCTTTTTTATACGCCCGAAAACTTTTGTTTTGCGTAAAATGTGAGCACTTGGTTGGTTGTCTGTTAGCATTTTTCGTGTAATTCTGATATCTTAAACCTATAGTGGGACATTTAAATTAGTTTGCAGAACTATTGATATACGTAATTGAGATAATGTGCAGAGCACAGGATTGTGGTTCCTCGGGTCAAGGTCAAAGTCGGAATGACACATTCAAAATCCTAATATACGTTTATATATAACAAAGGGAGATTGCAATGTATGAACTTATTAATATGTTTACTCCCCAAATATTTGTATGTTTCCCTCACGCAAAAACATTTTTTAGAAACTACTTGCTGTTTGAACTGGAATAAAAATCACCTATCTGTACTCCCCACAAATTATCCTCCATCTTGAATTATGTAACCGGAAAACGCGATACTGTAACACGTTCCCTTTGATGTAAAAGTATAATGTCTCATCAACAGTATTCGCTAATTAATGTCTTCCAATTTGGTGTACAGTTAAAATATTGGTCCATTTACTTATTGCGGTGCTCGTATTAGCCACTAAATTGCACAATTCTGCGTTACTTTTGCACATTCCTGAATTACTGGATATACATGGTGTATTATATTGTTAATTGAAATGAAAATTATTCTGTTTAAGTGTAATGAATAGGTTTCCTTTTAATTTAAGATTTATACATTTTGATTACTTTTCACAAGTTCTGGCGTATATTGCCCCACCTATGCGGTGTTCTTGTTATAATGATAAATTGATTTGATTGTTATTGAAATAAATTCAGTTCGAATATTGAATAGCAAATCAAAATCAAATCAAATAGTATCTTCCATAGACAGACTCAATCTAACCGCGCCTTTTACATCTATTATTTAGGGATACTTCTTTTTTTCGTTTAAAAAATGGATTCAAAGGATTCGTTTAAAAAACAAAGAACAATATATGTTATCTCAAATCTAATTTATAATTTGATTTAACGCAGTTGTTGTTCTTTAATTGGGTCAAGGGCTTCAACAAGAACTGAAATATCAACGCAAAGACGGTTCGTTTAGTGCATTTGGAAACCGGGATTCATCTGGGAGCAGCTGGTATATTTCTGACATTTTTCTGTTTTTGATTAACAAAAAGAAAAAGAAAAGAAAAATAATAATGAATAAATAAATAAATAAATAATAATAAATAAGAAAACATCATTAAATTATTAATTATGATAATTTTTGTACCACATGTGTAGATCCATATTCAATGTCTATGTATATTGTATTGTATATTGCTGTGTAATGTTTTAATTGACAGATCCTGTCATTATTTGACAAGGTTTGTATTTCTGCATAAAGTCACTTTCCGTTTAGCATATATTTTAACTGTCGTTTCGTCATTTGATATTTTATAAATGTCATTTTTTCCTGAGGAAGACAAATTCCGAAAGCTAAAGGAAGCGTTTGTTTAAATATTGAACTGATTTTACAATGCAAAATACAAATAAACAAAGTATATTTGGAGACTTCAACATAATTGTTTTTAAACCGATTGTGTGTGCTCCATTTTGTAAAATCGAGAGGTAGACAAAATTAGAATAAATTTGAATTTAAGTCTATTTGCTTTTTCCTTGATCAAGTTTTGCTTTAACACATCTTTGTTTAAAATTTCTATGGACTGATTCGCCCTCAGTAATTATTTAGGCAAATATTTTTTTCATAGAAACAATGTGTAGCAGTTTTGGAAGATTCTTATTCAGAATAAAACATTTTACGGCCGGAAAATTTGTTAAAAATCATTTCCTCATCGCACTTCGGCAAGCCTTGGCGAATAATTCATATATTTAATATATTGTTGTAAATTGTCTTAATGGTTTTCGACTAAACTTTGCCAGAATATCGGACATATGTGTAATTGATGTGCTTATGCGCTTGTACATCCGGCAAACCCTGATGTACTATGCAAAAACACCAAATGAGAAAACAAAGTTTGATTTTGTCGTTTATGCATAATTTGTATTTTTACGCGAAACTGCAAAGACATGTCAGATTTTATGCATGACACTTTTCATGTATACTATTGTTGATTTTATTTTGTCGTTCTTTCGCAATTTCTGCATTCAACATTTTTGTGAGAAATAATAAAACAAATTCGACATGGTAAACCAACCACCACAAAACTTGATTTTAATGATTATTGGAGTGCAATTTTCGGCGTTAGCGTTTCTATATAGATATATATAGATATAGATAAAAAAAATAATCGTTACATACTTTTGATACACAAGATGACAAAGGTTTAAGTGTCATAATTCAACAGAACGTTAAAAATTCACTAGGTTAATGATTTTACTTCCTTCTAAACACAAGGCTGACGGCGTTTGTTCTGAAGTGCTTCGGTCAAGCAAAAGATCTCATTCAAATTGATGATTCTGTTATGGTAAAAGCTATGGTTTGGTTACTGAGATACCAAAATAGTGACGGATCATTTCGAGAGCCGGGAAAAGTCATACACCGTCAAATGCAGGTACATTCATATATTTCATTATTGTTAAAACTTTAAAACGGAAAATATTTCAATTGGTTATTGTTCACTATACATGCCTGAAAGGGTTATCGTCATGTCAAGTCTAGAATCAAAAGTCGTTCCTCCTTTTATCTAAAAAAGTTGCCTTGCATCAGTAACATTCGGTCCTATCCCTTGAAGAAGTTTTCGTGTCGCTATAAAATATTTGCAAAAAAAAAAAAAAAGATTTTAATAAAAACATTTTAATTTATTCATTATTTTTCATTATCTTTAAAAGAAAAAAGAATAAATTCATGAAATATTATGATACATTTCAATTTGTTTCTAAATTTACACATTTGTTTATAAGAATATGTTGCCGAAATTATAAACAATATGTATTCAAACCGTTATTACATTTTGTATCAGGGTGGGTCATCTTCCGGAACAAGGATGTCGGCATTTATTTTAATTTCATTATTAGAAAACAGAAATGTTTCAACTTCTCAGGTAAGCACTACTGGTATGACAATATAGCTTTTTCACATAACCATAATATCAATATTGCAAATAAATTATTTCAATTTACATATAGGCAAATCTTAGCCATAGGTATGTATATCAGTTATCAATAACATAAAAATCACAATCATGATAGAAACCCATATATTCATCTTCATAAACAGTTAATAAATCATTATTTTCCAATGTTTATAATAGCAAATTTTTTAGTATCTAATGTAATTAACATAATAAATATTTATTAATTTCGAGGCTTTCGTTTAAAAAATATTTTGACATTTAAAATGCTATCGAATGGCCTATATTGGACAAATAAGATAAAACATAATCATGAAGTTATTCAGTATGATTTCTGTATATGGAACAACCAATCTTCTAAAAAATCATGTTTGGATAGCCATGAAGATATATTTGCAACGTTTTATGAAATAAAGGAATACTGTACTAGTTTGAAATAGAGAAAATTGAAAATGTTGCAGACTCGGTTTGATCGAGCCTTTTCGCGAACCGTCTTTAGCACCGGCTTAAACAGTATTCAACAAGAAGCCATGTTTTTTGTATCTAGAACAAACAGGCTAATAAGAGAAATGCTTTGTCAAAATCTTAAATACGCAGCAAACTGTTGTTTAGATTTTAAAGTACATTTGGTTGTTAAACAGCTGACTTACTGTTGAAATGAATACTTCGTTTATGCAATATAATTTCTTTTCTGTAATCAATGTTGAATGAATGTTTGGTATATTATAAAAATAGTGCAAAAGAGAGGAATCTCCTTGCATAATGACTTTGAATGCTCAGCATGAATAGAGGCCAGGCTTTGTGTTCGAATCATTAAAAACCTTTATTCTAATCAACTGTGGATAATATTTTTAACACATTTGATTAAAAAGTGATTCTTAAAAATTACAATTCATATTAGACGAAAAATAAAAGCCCAGTGCTAGACTTCATAAATACATTAAATAGTGCTTAAATGCGTAATATCTCAAAATTTGTTTAAAACTAGGGTACCGATGTCAGCATGGCAATAAGGAAGGCAACGACGTACTTAGAAGCAAAACTTAACTATGTCAAAGACTCATATTCACTAGCGATCATATGCTACGCTCTAGCAAGTGCCAATAGTCCCTCGAGATCCACATGTTACAAGAAGCTGAAGACAGCCGCTTTTTATGATGGTTTGAATCTACATTTTAAAATAAGATATTTATACTAATACTCGTGTAATATAAAGTTGCCAGACATAGATAAATCCTGTTTTAGTACCATTAAGTTATACATTTTTTCATTATTAAATGTATAAAATCTCTTATGACTGAGACATAGATTTCTAATGTATATTTCTTTATCATCTTCCTATATTTTCATAGTTTTCCGTTTTGAGTTTCACAATTGATCTTTCTAAGATCAATTTTTAAGTTTTAAGCTTTTGAACCTAAATGCAACTTCTTCATTTCTTTGATATTAGATGACAAAACCTACTGGAAAGCTAACCATAGAGTCAACAAAAGGGAAGTAGGTGATCGTGCATTGAGAAATAGAGCATCATCAATGGATGTAGAAGCGTCATCGTATGCTCTTCTAACTTATATGAAACTTGGGTACTACGCAGAGGCTTTCCCAATTGTAAAATGGCTTGTATCACAACGTAATCCGACTGGTGGTGAACGATCTACTCAGGTAAACAGCAATGTCAATGCAATCATAATATACACTTAATTGAATAATTTAAAACACCTGTACGATTGTTCATAATCATCTCGGAGATAGTACGGACTGAAAGCAATTCTTCAACGTGATATTATACGTAAACATTGTATAATTAGTAACAGATTTATTTGATTGACATGAAAAGAAATAAATAATTTGGTAAAATTTGATATGTATGTATACATATTAGACAATCAGATTCAATTTTTGAACTCACAATGACCTTCACTTATAAATGTATTTGCACTTTGGTTTCAACAAACATGTTGAAAATAAATACTAGTTATGTTCTGTTTACTTTTTTTATCTATACATTTACTTAGTTTAGTAGACTTTTACATGATCATGATTTAACGGTATGAAAAAATCCTTATCCGAGATTGAGGAAAGGGCCGACAAGTTGCTTTCTGAACTAATTCTTTTAAAATATAAGAAATACGCAAAACAAATATACATGTAGATAGCAACAGCTAAATAAAAAAATAATGTTAAAAGAAAATACCCAAAAACAATCATTAAGCATTGTATGCATTCCATAACAAAAGCAAATCAATTATTAGGCACAAATAAACCAACTTACATGAGGTCCTAATTAGTACCCATTTTACAGGATACAGTTATATCAATACAAGCGCTTGCCGAATATGCAACTAATGGAGACGCTTCACCGGGCCCGAATTATGGAGTGAAATTTGAATTGTCTGATGGAAATTTCAGTCACGTTTATTCTACAGATCCTTCAACATTTGATTTCGTACACACATTCCAGGTACTTTTTTTAGGGAATTTGTGAAAAACTTTAGACAACAATCCAATTTAGTCAAAAGAAATCCCAACACATGTACATGCTTATAATATTTCAAGTTAAAGAAAACTGTTTATTTGGATTATTTAGGGGATTACATTTTATATTGTTTAACTTGATATATTTAAAATTAAATGATTGCCATATTTGCTATATCAGGTAATGAAAATAAAGGTTTACGAATAAGGGGCAAGCTAATTACCTAATTTCCAATAACAGAGGCAAGACTTTTTGACAAATAAACAAAATTACTCGGTTAACCATAACTGGTACAATTATCCTAATTTATTACATAAAAGGAAATATTTGATTGCATTATTTGAACATCTATCTATATAACAGGTACCTTCTGATGTTGAAACATTCACACTTCAAGTAACAGGGTCAGGCTCAGCAATAATCGATGTAAGTTGATTTTATTGATAAAATTTTCATGGGTTATCAGATCTTGGTATATAAATAAATAGTATACTTTCTATGTTTATCATTCTCTATCAACAATCAAAACCTGTGTTGCTGAAATGCTATTTTTATTGAAATAACTTTTATTCCTACAGACATTGAAGAAATTCCCTTTATTTATACTGAAATGCACTTTCATGGAAAAAATGCTGTGAAAACATTTGGCAATACAAATATTTAATTGTATCGTTAATCTTCTCAGACATAAGAAGAGCATAGTTGTGCATTTACAAGATACGATTGACTACAAGAAACATACTTTATCAAAAAAATGCCGTCAATTTATCTGTACTTGTGTCACTTAAATAAAAGATCTTATTGTTTTGGGATAAGACATGAAGGGGCACCTGAGGTTTTCCAGTTAAGCTTGAAAGTCGCCATTCGACATCTATTATAGTGATGTGACGTAAAACCCAATTCAAAATGTAAAATAGAATAAATAATTGAAGATAAAAAAGGAAAAGCTAAACTTAGTATGGCGTTGTTATGTTGATAAAACTTGTGGTATATCATTGGTTAGATATCTACTTCATATTATGTGACTGGCAATGAAAACGATGATGACATCAAAGTAAAAGCAATAGTGACAAAAGAGTCGATAAATACTGTGACAATTGAATCTTGCCTAAGGTGAGTGAATCAAACTATAAATACAATTATTAATATTATCTCACTGTACTGATTGTTGAAAGTGACGACAAATGCAATTTACGTATTTTGAGAGATTTCGATGTCATAATTCTACATAATGAGACTTTTGTTTATTAGATGGATTGGAAGTGACAAAAGTGGCATGTTACTTATGGAGGTAGAGATGCCAACAGGATTTCAGCCTGACGATTACCTACTGAACAGTCAGAATATAATCATGAAACACGAAACAAATGGAAGAAATATTGCATTATATTTCAATGGTGTACGTATGATTATTTTCTTTGTATATATTTTTCCGTTTAAAAACCAGTTTTGAAAAGATTTGGCCGTTTCATATGACGACATACCGCAAACATTGGGCACTTATAAACTCATTTCCTATCCACAGAAGGGTACATGTGACCAGTGATTTATAAGTCAAGCATGTTAACCTTCAGCTCTATGTAGCAACCTCAAGGCATAATCTGGCCTGATACTAGATAATAAATGATTAAATGGTGAAAGTGATTTTTGCGTTGACAAAACTATGAATACGAAATTCAAGCATTTTAATCACAATATTTAATACCTACAATACAGGTTAATTCAGGTACTGACATTTGCGTTGATGTGAAGATGGACCGTGTTGACCCAGTTGTCAAGAGTCAAGCCTGTCATGTGAAAGCATACGACTACTATGATCCAGGTAATTGAAATATCGATAATGATTACAGAGCTCTGAAAGTGGGTTGGTCTATAATTGATTTTTTTTGTTAAACATTAAGTTATAACATTGAAAAGATTAAGTATCAGACATAACAGCAAAACACGTAAGAATATTAGAGGAAGGTTTGGTGAAAATGCTCTGAGTAACATGGTTTTATTTTTAAATTAATTGTTTAAGCAGATTATAAAAGGTTCAAGAACAACAAAATATTATACATAAAGTATAAATGTTCATACTTAATCACATAGATCATTATATCATTATAATTTTTCCCAAGCAATATTATATAAGAACCGATAAATGATACATTTGTTTCTATGAATATTTAAAATACTGTATTCCTTTATTGATATACTGTCACTTCTTACCTCGTTTTGTGCCGAGTCTTTCCTCTAGATCAGTTCCATGCTTGAAGCTCTCGCTGTGGTCTTGTGTGGGGTTTTGTTCTGCAAACTTCGATTTGTCTTGATCTTTGCCCTTGTATTTCTGCAGTTTAACAATAGCACGTTTGTGATTTAGTCAAAATATCAACCTGAAGAAAATACCGTAACCCAATGCTTACCACGGGTACAACACTTTTATTTAAATTTTGTTGGAACATTTTGCCGAGTCTTTATTACCATGAAATTGATAGTTCATGTATGTTGCACATTATCCATGTTACTTGTACTTTAGATATGAAACTGCCAATATAATTTCATTTTTTAATTGTTAAGTTCATCAAGCAATAACTAGATATGAATTTGGATTGCTGAAGGAACCAAACATTTGTAACATTTGTCCTTTGTGTGGATTCTGTTTGGTACGAGAACCGGTAAGTTACATCTTTTCTTATAAACTGGTTTTTAAAACCAGTTACAAAGGAGATTCAGACTTCACTGAATTGCAGCCGGGTCTGCTCTACAATTGAATCACAGCTTGCTTGTATTCATATAAATATATAAATCTTTAATTTATGCATTGATATAAATGTTATCAGTTTGAGTAATGTTAGTCTGGTAGGTACATTATGATATTTTGAATATTCAATAACATAAATAAATAAAATTATTTGTACCTTACAAATGTTTAAACATTTTTTTTCAGACCGGAGTAGGACGTTAAGCCGACAGAACTACATACATTGCATTTTCAAATGTAAATAACCTAACTGTGCAGTATAATATTTAATCAGTGTATATAGATTGTGTGCAATTCTCTTACAATCTAAAGGTAATGTGAAGCAATTATATATGACATTTGTTTCTCAGAAGTTCAACATAAACTTACGTTTGAGTTATTGACAATTATTTCCTTAGCCATCCATAAGTTGTCTACATTTGTTCTATCTTCTGTATTTATTTAAGGTCTCTTTTTTGTCCTAACATTTTTACAGAAGGTATTTTAAGTTTCACATTAATAACAATTAAATTTTCGTTTACATTAATGCTGCAATTTTAATGAGTGAGGAAATAGTAACTGTTGTTAATTACATATTAATATAGACGATATATATCAAACTAATATTAACACTACAGAATATATAGAAGCAGATGCCAATTAATTACATATTTTTAATATAAGTTCCGAGTAAATGAAATTTAACGGATACTATTTGTTAACGAAGTAAACATTTAAAGTTTTAGGCCATTATGTTTATGTTTTGCAGATTTTTTTTCTTTAAGTAGGTGAAGATTTATGTATATCGATGTAAGAATGATTTAACATGCAATTGAATATAAATGAGAAAATGAAACAATATCAATGTTTAGTGTTCACCAATTTTTTAAGCCAATCACCGACGAGAATTTTTCAAATTTTCAGGTTTCAAATCTTAATAGAACATATTTTATATAAACTGGACGTTTTATATTATATTATACAACGCAAGTGGGCGGAGCACTAAGCCGGTTCGAGTGCATATTGGATGTTCTTCGTAAATAAGAAAGCTACAGTCGCTTCGCAAGCTCCGCTCCTTTTTAGCTTTCTTATTCACGAAGAACACCCAATATGCACTCTAACATATACATTATATATGTCGTATGTTTCATATTTCTGTTATCAATACTAACTACTAATATTTTTGTTATCATAACACGTTATGTTTGCAAAACCTGTCAATATGAATACTTAGACCATAAGCATTATTTTTCTCAAAATCATTTTAATTTAACATTTTTATTTGTTTCATATTATGCAAATTTCATATTAATTGCACACAGAATGGATGTATTCATCTTAAATCCAAAGTAAATATTAAACTAAGAATATACTGAGGTTACATCCTTTCAAAATACAATTTTATAAGCAATTGCAAAGGAGTAAACTATTTATAAAATTAATGCAGTCAGTCATTATTTATGTATTATTATTATTATTTCAAATGGCCCGGCCACCCTTCAAAGCAAAGTTATTATATATTTTTTCCAATAGCTATGCATGCGTCTGATCAAGTTGAAATGAAAACTTTTATAGGATTAAGGATATTGTTAAGATGTTAAGGTTTTATTGAACATTATCGCATTATAGTTGTCGACACTGATATTAACTGAACGTTCAAATATATCTATTGTAATTCATGTACTAAATCTAGAATTATTTTTAACTAAAATCTGTTTAACGCTAAAAACCTGTTGTATTTTATTTTGTTTGTTTAACACTATAATCTTAAATGAGTTTTATATATATATTTACTTTAAAAAAAACGAGAAAGAAGTGTAATTGGAAAGGTGTTATAGCAAGTGTTCAAAATGATATCAGTGTATAATATGATGATTCCTTTAGGCGACTTAGGTTCGTGAAAAAACTGGCGAGACAATATTTCAGTTTACATTTTCCATGTATGTGTGTTTGATGTATCTAATAAAATTATAATCATACGACTTACTTATTGTATTTTTAATTTGAGATTAATAATAACAATTTGGTAACTAAGGCTGTGCTAAATATAAATTATTGATTTCATAACTTAAGGGAATAAATCAAAACTTCAAAAAGCAATCGGTAAGACAAATGGATGTCTTTATGGTTGCGATTTACTTACATTTAGTTAAGCAAGAGTATTGACGTTTCTCTTTAAAATGTAAATGCAGCTTTACGTTTCTATTCAAGTACCACATGTTTTAAATTAATAACAACTGGGAATATATCAAGGTCATTTGTGTCTCCAGGATTTGGATGCTAAATTAAAGGTATCCACTCATTGAATAAAATGTATCTTGTGTCAAGGGCATATACTGTGTCTTGAACAAAAACCGATTATACCTTAAAAGTGTTTTAGTATATTTTCACATATACGATTATTCTTCCCGCAGTATCGACATACTCATTGTGGTTGACTTGCATACCCCCAGAAGATATCATCATTTTAAATTAGAAAATAGTTCTTGCGAAATAGAGATTTCCCGATCTGCGTGTAGAATGCAAACATTGTGAAACCTTCTTTTATTTTCTGGAATAAAGAAGCTATCTATTTCAGGGTACTGCCAAACACTCTACTTCATGTCATGTTGTTTTATTCATAGTGTCGTCTTGTGTTCAATTAATTCAACAATTATGATATTGACTATAAATGTTTATCCAATAAAAAAAAATATTTCAAAATGTAGGAATTATAAAACCGTTATACTATATACATTATGCATTATAATGTAAGCATAATAGTATATAGAGTCCCGATAATTTGATTTTAGAATAACTTTACGCAGACAATTAATTGACTAAGAAATGCATTTAATAAAGTTGTTTAAGAATCAGATTTCGCCAAGGGAGATTAATCCGGATAGTAAATAAGTTGAGTTAAAACACAATTATCTCTCTTCGAATAGCTAAGCATTTCACATGACTAGTAAAATCTTTAAAGCCATACAGAGTCTAACTTTTACACTGAAATAAACTTGCAAACCACTTGATTATAAGTATCATGTTCCATTAGAAAATTTATGAAGTGAAAACGTACACAACATCTTAAGACAACTTGATCTTTCTCATGCAACTGTTAGAATCATTGATCTCCGCGACACTGTCAAATATTTCATTTCAACCAAATGCAAAGCTACGGTTTATTCTTGTACTCATTATCGGTTTAATATTTTGAATGAAAAACAAGGAAACAAAACCAATAAAGAAAAAAGTTAAATATAGCAAAAAGAATCAGCAGGATAACTAAACACTACTATTATAGATACAAATGAACGGCGGTTCTGCAATTACAATTTTATATATACTATTTTACTGAACTGGCATTAAGTTTGGCTAAAGATGATTGAATCTAATATGCTGTTCGCTTACCAACCCTATTACAAGTAGAGAAACTGATAGCGAACAGCATTGATCCTGATCAGACTGCGCGGATTATGTTGGTTTTGTCATGACGCGGCACAATTATCAATTATTAATTTTCTATTAATTCCAAAATTGTTATTTGCTTTAAATTTTCTAATTCTCCCCGGTTTAATCTGTTTCCGGCATTCATTGTCTGACGTCTTGATATGACATATTAAGGAAACATTCAATCCACAAGTTATTAATTTAAAACCGTCACGCGTACAATTTTGAGAGTGTAAAGAAACGTAGCTTTGATAGTCATAGCATAACTTTACATACATGGACACGGCATAAGTCATTAGAAATCACAGGAAGTCCCCAGTACATTATAATTATATCGAGCAACCCATATATTAGTTACTGTTTTAAGAATACGATATAAAACTGTACACATTGAATTACAAAATGGAAAGAAAATATGTTCAAAATTACAATCTTTTATTTAATTTCAGCATGTTTTGAAAGAGAATGACTTTTAAACTTAAATGAAAATGTCCTTGTTTTCCATTTTTCACATGTATATGTAAAATGTAAAAAAATACAGTAGAACGCCACGATCTCTTACATTGAACGTTGTAATGTACATGATTTACATTGTAAACTGTAAGGCCCAAAACGTCATCATCGACAATGTTGTTGGCTCCCTTTCATTGAGCCTGTTAGTTGTTATTTATATGTTCATTGGACGGTACAATGACAATATAATGATCTTAATCTGAAATCAAAATATGATAATGAATATTATAGTCATATTATAAATACTCATATCACATATAAATACATGTACAACTTGTTGAAGATATAAACTGAATTCTCATAATTATAATCATAATTCTTTTCTGAAACTGTTGATATGAAATAACCAGTTGAACAATTGGAAAGAGAACACGAAAATGAATAAGGATCAATCCTTCTATCCATCATGTAAACAAAAATTGCAAAATAATCTTAAAATCAGCAATGTTCTTTCAGACTGAAAGGTAGCGATGTAAAGCATCAATGCTGGTTTTGATGGAGTAGACACTAAAATCACATCTGTTATTTTGCACGTTTAGAATTCAATGACATTTAAATATTAGACACATTCAGCAAAAGTCAACGAATGATATAAAGACAACAACAACAACACAAAATAAATAATGATAAGTCAGCATTTTGTTTATCAAAAAATAATATGTAAAAAGTCCCAACTACTGGTATGTCTGAAGATTTAGTGTTCTGTATTCGAGAGTACGTCCTAATGCATAGACGTAAGAAACGCACGCCGACGTAAATCTTACGATTTGAGCTTGAACGTAGATCAAAATTTTTCGATACGATTTCTGTAACCGTACGATCGTTGATAAGACGAGCCCCTGTAGTTTGTTATGATATAATGCAACATTTTTTTTACTTGCATTATTGGAATATTATCAAAGCTCTGTGTATTATTCTTCAAAGTTGAACAATATCAATATATCAAGCGTAACAGATCAGACATTGTATTAGGTTTCTAAATATTTAGAGCAGAATTAAACCTATATAGAGATATATTCCGATTATATAGATCTAGTGTGGGTAATTTGCTCTTTAAACTATTTTCATGGGGCAAATATCTTAAAATACAATATATCATCAACCTTTAATATTTTAGCTGACGTTGGAAAAACGTTTTGACAAGGAGAGACTTAGTTTTAAGGTCACAGTAAAAGTCTATCAATCACAAAGCAATATGTTAGGTTATCCATATTCAGAGATTCAATATAATCAACTGTAAACTCTATGATTATGTGACTCGTACTTGTTAAACTGTTAAACTGTGAACTTTTTTCAATGGTCTGATATTTATAGGAAATAATTGCAGTGTAAGCATGTATAAGGACTCAGTTTTTCTGATCAGCCAAAACTTTTTAGATTTATTATGCACATATGTTTAATCAATAAATATAACGAATATGGTGTATATTTATTAACAAATGTCAATATGTCAAATATGATATTACTAAGCAAAATGTGCTTCATTTTGTAAGAATATACCTATAATATATATATTTTCATTGGTCCACCAGTTACGTAAATTCATAGATCGCTTTTTATATCTTTTTATAGTAAATCGCTATCCGAGAGTAAAAATGTGAAATCAATTTACTAGGACAAAATGTTTCTATTTTTGTGCACACTTAAAGTGTATAAAATTGTATATCTGATATAAAAATTATTTTAAAAAGGCTTGTATGAAATAAATATCATATGGTAATTTATTGCCTAAAGCGAATGGCGCATGCACAAAATCATTGCTAAACGGGTAAACCCCTACTTAAAATAGCAAAATATATTTTGTTCCGGAACATTTTATTCTGCTTACGTTCATTATTCGTGTGTATAAAATAACAGAGACATTCTATGTTACAACCTTTTCGGGAATTAATCATATTATAATGTAATTAAAATAATTCTACTGTTGATAAATTTTATAACAATATTTCATAAGATATAGATTATTACCATTTAAATGTATAATATTGTCTACATTATGATGGGATTAATCAAGTGCTCGCTCAGACTGTGGTAAGCTTAGGTATATTAACAGTCCGAGAAACGAATGAAATTACTGTTCATGTTTGGATCCGAATCGTTGTTTTTCTTTTTCATGAAAGAAAGTTATTCTTCAAATTACAATGTCGGCTATATAGAATAGTCAAAGTTAAGTATTGACACGAAACCAGGGTCTCCGTCTCTTCCTTATAAAGATTTCGAATGACTAGGTGTAACATGAAATTGCTTATGAACGGAAGGGCATAGACCGCCATGGGATTTTTATGGTAAGTTTAAATATATTTAAACTGTATTGTTATATTGTTTCGGAAACACCGACGCACATTTATCCAGCTAAACAAACATTATTGCATAAGAACTGCACACTAAATTATAATATAATTATAAACGGAAAAGACAACACGCATTTACAAATAAAAACATGTCATCAAGTACAATTGTTACACGCTTTAAAATATGCCATATGTACATGTAATAGCTTACATGAATAAAGAACAAAACATAACTGGTATTATGATTTTTGATATTGGCTTGAGCTTTTACACAAATATATAGAATAAACAATATTGTACTTTTGTTGACACAAAATTTCGGCTACATGCACTAGCTCGGAATTAGCTACAGAGAGATTTGACGTATATCTGTATAACAAACAAACAGATGGTCCTTCTGTTGTTTACCAGACGTGAAAATAGCAATTCAACGTTTGTAAAATCAATCTTAAACATTCACTTTTCTTTATAAAGCATTATTGTACAGACTTTCATTTCCAGAATGTATTGTTGCAAACTAAATATTATCTTCGTTTGGTAGTGTTATCTTACTTTATTTGTTAAAAAGTCCATGTCTTAAATACAACAATGAATAAACACAGATAAACTCACTGTTATTACATTTCGTATCTTTAATACCGACAAAGTTAAGAATTAATTATGAACAATTAAAAATCAAGGTATCTATTGAAACTTCATTTTTTAACAAGATTAAATTTAAAATTAATTTCGGATAATGTCTCTTT